ATAGACTCATTTAATGTCAAGGAGACTCAAAGACGTGTTGATAAGATCCCAGAGCCAATAACCTTGATATGTGTTAATGTAGGGCAAGACGTCTTACTTCTTAACTGCTTAATGAGGATAGGCTGGTTTCCTGATTTTGAAACCTTCAAGGAGGTTTTTTAGGGTCCCTAAAGGCAAAAACCCACAAAACCACATTCTTTTTTATTGAAAAAGGTCTTCATGGACCCAACCCAAAATGTTAAACTTTGTTGCGTGTTTCTGATACTCAGGAAGTTATTGTAGAGCAGATAATTCTCAACTAAAATAGTCAAAGATCTCTCTTTCCATGTTTTTTTTTCTACACCTATGTTAAAAAAAAAACACAAAAAACTAATAGTATCCTGAAAGTATAAAACACACTCCACTAATTCCAAGGGAATCCTTGAGTTTCAAAGAGCCGACAGAAAAGAAGATACAAGGTAAAAATAATCTTGAAAAAACAAAAACAAAAACAAAAAATTAGTTTGGGGGAGTGAAACTCAGCCAGTAGGAATCTCCTACTGTGAGCAGCTTGACAACTGCTGACCCAAATGTAAGGAAATGACAGAGATTCGGGATATGTTTAGCAAAAGTCTCAAATTGTTCAGGACTTGGTTAAACTAAGCAAAGACGACAATTAAAAAGGAGAGAATTAAAATTGGAAATATTCAGCATCGGTTAACTATGATGGTGTTAGGAGAGTACTGCAAATGTCTGCAATGACAAGGATGCTGCATTCTTTCAGCTTTTATCTCTTAAAGATGTGCAATAGAATGTTTTCAGATGATGTGATCTGATGGACTTGCTTTTTGGAAAATCCAGTGAGTGGATTAGGGGTGGGGATAAAAATGAAACGGGATTAACCTTTGATAATCCACACCTGGTTGTTGCTGAAGTTGAGTGAGGGCTGTGTAGGCTTTCACACACGGGGCCTCTCTCCTCTGGGATTTGTTGGAAGTTTTTCATGATGTGAAAGTTACGAAGCAGCTAACGAGTTAGAAATGTCCTCACTCATTCATTTCACATTAGAATCTCCAAGGCATCCCCACGGTTGTGTTTAGGACTCTGAGTCCACCACCAGTGCGCGGGCTGGGACAACAGGGAGGAGACCCACGTGTCCAGCCACAGCAGTGTTGGATGCTGGTCAGAGGGTGTGTACCCCTGGGGTTCAGTGAGGAACTTCTGTCAGGGGGAAAGAGCCACTGAGCTGCGAGTGTTCTCTGCTGATCCCGCAGTGAGCAAGGCTTGCATGAGTCCCAGGGGCTGAAGTGGACCCAGACACCCACGACCAGCACCTCCTTGCTCCTTAGATCACCACGGGGTTGGGGGGATGAGAAAAGAGCTTAGAAAAGCATGTTTGGGAGCAGAGCAGCCACATGTTGACTTTGAAGCTTGTCCTTGGACCCACCCAGGAGGTGACAGGGAAAGCAGCTGGACTTTCTGGGAGTGTCCCTGAAGGCAGTAAAATTGCAGATGCCCAAGAGCCCCACCCCACTGGCCTGGGGGCAGGAGCGGGAGGAAAAGCCCAAGAACTTTGTGGAAAGTGTCTTGGCCTCTGGGCCTCCTTTCTCCAACCCAGAGCTTCCCTGCCCCTGCCCTGCCCCACACATCCTCAGCTGGGAGCATTCTCTCCAGTCAGAAGGTCCAGCCCCAACAGGCTCAGGTCCAGCCCCAACAGGCTCCCAGGAGACGTTCCCTCAGAATGTTCAGTTCTTATGAAACCTGGTTCCTTCCTTTAATGGCGCCACCCACATGGCCCCTCAGGGGTGCTGAGGCTAGGCCTGGGTCCGGGATGGCCCTCAGTGCTCTGGTCCACTAGCTTGGATTGCAACACAAGGTCAGTGTTTCATCCTTGGCTGCTTTCTGGGTCATGCCCTATGCAACAGGTGCTCAGAGTCTGACTGGAGCACTCGGCTTATCAAAAACTCTACAGACAATGCCTGAGCTATCTGACAAGACTGAGGAGGCTCCAGCCCAGTCATGGAATCCCTAAGGCACCTGCCCGGAGCCAGGCTCCTCTCCCCACTGATGACATAAGGGATGAAGGCAGACCAGCATCCTGGCTCCCAGTCTGCTCTGTTTCAACCCTGATAAGAATCAGACAGGGACACAGAATGAAAGACAAATATCCAGAAGACAAACCAGAAATTGCTGGAATACAGCACAGTCCCAGAGCCACACAGCAGCCATCTGTCGTGTTGGCCTCTGCAGTTCCCCAGTAAAGAAAGAACAGTGGAGTGCGTGAGTCCTCTTGCACTGGATGGCAGCTCTGTTGGCGGCTGGAACAGCAGAGAAAGGAGATGCTTCTCACTCCGCCAGCAACCCCCGCCTGCTCTGTTTCATGCATGGCTTCTGTCCTTTGAGGTCCCAGCACCGTCCTCACAGCTCCACAGACACCGCCCTCTTGCTGTCTGCATGCACAATCCAGTCCTCCCATCCCCTACTTCTTTGGATGAGTTCACATTCCTCTCAGAGGGATCCGAGAATAACTGCTCAGTCAGGAATACAGGCAAGATCGTTCACCCGTGTCTGTCGGCCCCACCGGGCTAGCAGCCAGGCAGGGCTAGCATGAGCCACGGTGGCCCTGTGCTGGCTAACTCCCACAGTTAGGTGCCCAGATGATGGCCCCAGCCTTACAGAGTGGTTCACTAACTAGATCTGTCGGGTGAATGGGTGGCCAGTTGGAACTGCCCAAGTTCCGTCTTTGAAAGCATCTGTGACCTCTGTGGGAGCACTGGGACTCTACAGCAGGTGCCTAAAGAAAGTGGATATCTTGGGCCCGGCGCGGTGGCGCAAGTGGTTAAGGTCCTCGCCTTGCACGCCCCAGGATCACATATGGGCGCCGGTTTTAATCCCGGTGGCCCCGCTTCCCTTCCAGCTCCCTGCCTGTGGCCCAGGAAAGCAGTCGACAACGGCCCAAAGCTTTGGGACCCTGCACCCGCGCGGGAGACCCAGAAGAGCCTCCTGGCTTCAGATTGGCATAGCATCCAGCCGTTGCGCTCACTTGGGGATTGAATCATCGGACGGAAGATCTTCCTCTCTGTCCCTCCTCTCTGTATATCCGCCTATCCAATAAAAAATAATAATAATAATAATAATAAAAGAAAGTGGATATCTTGAGCTCAATTCTCCTCGTGGCCACTTCCTGGATCGCTGCGTGCTTCCCTGCAGCTCCCCCCAGACAAACAGGCTTGTACTGCCCTCCCAGCGTCCACACTCATGACACTTGCCCGCCGCCCGCCCGCCCGCCCTTTATCTCTTTGGCACTACCTTGAGTGTTTGCTATAGCCAAGCCCAAATATTTACCCTGTGAAGTGGGCAACAGTGGGGAGGGTACGAGGAGGAGTGCAGGGCCCTGAGAAACGTCATCGTCCAGTCGGAATGCTGTCTGTGATGCTCACCTGTCCTTGTCACAACGTTTCCTCCCCTGAACCAACAACCCTCAGCCAGGATCTCAGGAACAGGTGGAGAACAACACTAGTAAACCACATCTTCCCCATAGCTTCCATCAGCAGGCATAGAAAGGAGTACAGAAACGTCTTATCCCCACAATACAGTTTAAATCACAATGCTATAACAGGTTCATTTCACTCATATTCTTGGAAAATACAGTCTTGTGATAAAAACGGAAAATCATCCTACACAAGCATGGTACCCAAACTCGAAAGAATGGATGCTTCCTGCTCTCCCTTGGGGATAAATCAGCCTCACTTTGAGTACCTGTCCCTTTGCAGCCTAAGAAAACATGACTTTTCTGGCTTTCAACTGTCTCTTTTCAATTTTATTTCAGAGGCAAAGAGGCGGAGAAACGTGCAGAGTTGTCCTGTCTACTGATTCAGTCCCCAGGTGTTTGGGCAGAGCCAGACCAAAGCCCAAAGCTGGGAACTCACCCCCAGCTTCCCAAATCTGAGGGCAGGGACCCGAGGGCTTGGCGGTCAATGGGCTCCCAGGATGCCCATTTCCAGGAAACTGATATCCAGAACAGAACTGGGACTTGAACCCAGGCACCTGAGTGTGGGATGCAGGTATTGGAAGCAGAGTCTCAATCGCTGAGCCGATATCCACCCAGATGTCTTCAATGGTCTCGAGTCTGATCTGAATATTGACCACACAGTTCACGTTCAAGATGATTAAAATCACCTAAGTTTTGTTTGTTTTAGTAAAGATGGGAAGTTGGACTTAGTCAAAAAGATTGCTTCCACAATTCATAATTTTTCAGGTGCCTGAGGGTCTCTGAGTGCTTAGGAAAGTGCTGCTGTTGTGTGGCCCCTGCCCTGCACCAGCCTGGCAAGCTCATGAACTGCACAGCCCCGGGCCCGGGGAGGTTAGGAGTGCCCCCCTGTCTACCACCCATCAAGGTTCAACTTTGCCAAAGAGAATACCAGCCACCGAGAATCACCAGGACCTAGCGACAGTGTCAGGCTTTGTTCATGCCATAGCCTCTTATTTGCCTTGTACGGCATAGCCATCCTTACTGTAGACGTTATTTGCATTTTATTCTGCTGTATTTTAATTATTTATTGCAGCCTTTAAGATGCCCAGAGTCTCCAGAGGGAGATGGAAGGGGCACTCGGGTCAAGCTTGGGACCAAAACTGGGCACTGCAAACCCCGTGCTGCCCCTCCATCCTTCCTGGCTCCATCCCCATAGCCCTGGAAACTCCCCAAATCTCGGAGCTCATAACTGCCCCTGGCTGCTAGGGGGCCTTCCCACGGGGATGGGGCTGGATGACAAACAGGTTGAACCTTGCAAGGGGAATTTTCTTTTTTCATCTGCTTTTTTTGGTTTTGTTTTTGTTCTGCCCAGGGAAGTTTCCCCAGCCTGGCCTAACCTGTAGTGATCCATGCCATTTTACCCCCCAGGTCCCCTTGACCCTCATGCGACTGGGCAGCTCTGTGGTCTGCCTTCCAAGGGCCACAGCCTGTAGCAGCTCAGCTGCCGGGCGACACAAACCCACGTGCTGCCCCCTTTACACGATGCTGTCTAGTGTGGGAGCGAGTAGATCTCTTCATACGGTGGGGGAGAGAAGCAGGTGCAGTCTCCTTCTCCCAGATGTGACTCCTCTTGCCGGTGGTCATGGCTGCACCTGAGACAGGAGCAGGAAGCAGAGATGCATGGCAGCCCAACACCTGTGCCCAACACTCCGTGGCCACCCTGGGCCCCCGCCCCCTGCCCTCAGACACCATGTGGGGATAGCTGTAAGGGGACTCACCCCAATCCCCCATGTCATACCTGTGGCTTCCACCATCCAGAACCAGCGGGTAGTCCCCATCACCCACAAACGCAGCGTTGCCTTGAGGGTAAATGGTATAGTATTGAGGAGGACTCGGCACAGGGGCCATGACCCCCGCAGTGGGGAGGAGTCCGCACGGGCTTCCCACAGGCTGCAGGTACGGAGTGGTTGTTCCCAGGGGCTCCTGAGGCGCATAAGGAGGAGGGATGTACTGTACCACCGTGGCCCCGTGGAAGGTGATGGGCTGATTGATGCCAGTGAAGACGAATGACTGGCCTGCCGAAGGTGGCTCCGGGTCCAGGGCCCTCTCCTCACCGTCTTTGCACAGCTGGCAGGAAACCATCTTAAACTTGCACACGGCAATTAGCATGAATGTGACCCCAACCGACAACAGAATGGGTCCAAGAAGTTGGGTCCATTCGAAGTGGGAGACGCCTTGGTACTTGATCCAGCCCATGACGGTGAATGTGAGCCCCACCAGTCCCAAAAAGACGCCCGAGAAAAGCAGGGTGGCCCCTGCCTTGTCGTCGTCAGACACCTGGATGTCCGCGGTGCTGGGAGTGTAAGGGGTGACGGCAAACACATTGAGAGGGAAGTCATCCAGGCGGCTGCTTCCCAGCCCCGGCTCCATCACCCTGCACGCGCTCCAGTGCCGGCTCCTTGAGGGTATAGGGCTCTGAGAGCCCACGAGTCGCAGGTACAGACGAGTTGCAGAAGAACTTTGGGCTTCTGTGGTTAACAGAGTATAACATGCCCAGCGCTGGACTTTGTTTGGAGGAATAAAGGTCTGAGAAGTGAAGCCTGAAGTTGTCTGATAAATGGCCAGGAAGCAGTAGTCTCTGCTTTACAAGCCAGGGCTGAGCCATCTCTCCGATTCACTTCACTTGTTTGTGTGTTTAAACACTAACCTGACCAGATGCCTTGTCGCAGCCAGGGAAGGCTCGTCTCTAGCTCTGGTTTCGTACTAGCACAACCAGACTTGCAGAAAAGCCAGTGCCGCTGTTACCACTTGCTTGGGGACCTAACCTCCTTGGCCTGCTGGTCACCCCATGAGTAATAGAGGCAGGTCCCCTGATTTTTCAACTGTTTGTGTATTCCTAGCAACCTCAGGAATCCCTGGGTACAATGATGCCCATCTTCTTTCCTTTGCTATAGTAGAATGCCACAAATCAGATGCTTTGTAACGCAAATAAGTTCAACCTCTCACAGTCCCCAAAGCAAGGAAACCCAGCATGAAGGTTCTGGCACCTGTCCAGCATGCGATGAGGGTCTTCTTGCTGCATTGTAATGCAGCAGGGGCATCCCATGGTGAGACCCCGTGAGTGGGTCAGCTCGGGTCCCCTCCTCTTCTTATAACACCACTAAGGTTATGGGCCAGGTGGGGGTGGGACAGCCTCTTGACCTCCTCAAACCCTAATGGCTTCCCCAAGGCTCTGGCTCCAAATGTCAGTAACATACAATGTTTTAAAAAATATTTATTCACTTCTATTGGAAAGTGAGATGTACAGAGAAGAGGAGAGAGAGGAAGATCCTCCATCTGATGATTCACTCCCCACGTCACTGCTCTCTCACGTGGTGCAGGGTCCCAAGACACTAGGCCGTCCTTGACTGCCCTCCCAGGCCACAAGCAGGGGCCAGCTGGGAAGCAGGGCCACCGGGACTAGAACCGATGACCATATGGGATCCCAGCACGTGCAAGGCAAGGACTTTAGACCCTAGGGCACCATGCCAGGCCCCACTAGTACACAAATTTTGGCATTAAATTTTCAAGACATGACTTGAGAAGGGAACAGTCAAACCATTTTGCAATGCATAAACCTTAGGAACTCTTCTTGCAAAGCTCTGGGAACCTATTCCTTCCTGGTCAGCCTCTTTCTCTCCAAACTTGGGAGCAGTGATTTCAGCAGGTGGGAGAGGAAGGCTGGTTTGAGAAACCTGGCCACGTTCCACATCGCTGGCCGAGACTGACCTCACATCAGGTGGGACATGACGAGGCTGGGCCAGACTTCAAACCCTCTCTTAGTGGTAGCCTTGCAGTTCTTGGTATGAGTCATATAGACTTAACCCCCTGTTTCAAATACTGCAGGGTCACTGTTTGTTTGTTTTTTTTTTTAAAGATTTATTTTTATTGGAAAGGCAGATATACAGAGAGGAGAGACAGAGAGAAAGATCTTCCGTCCGATGATTCACTCCCCAGGTGAGCGCAACGGCTGGAGCTGAACCAATCCAAAGCCAGGAGCTTCTTCCAGGTCTCCCACACGGGTGCAGGGTCCCAAAGCTTTGGGCTGTCCTTGACTGCTTTCCCAGGCCACAGGCAGAGAGCTGGATGGGAAGCAGGGCTGCCAGGATTAGAACCTGTGCCCATATGGGATCCTGGGCATGCAAGGCAAGGACCTTAACCACTGCGCCATCACACCGGGTCCCCAGGGTCACTGTTTTTGCAGAGGGAAAAGCCAAGTTCCCAATTTAGGGCAATAATAGAAACAAAAGTTCAAAGTCACCCCTAAAATGGGTGCACGGTCCCAACGCTTTGGGTCATCCTTGACTGCTTTCCCAGGCCACAAGTAAGGAGCTGGATGGGAAGTGGAAAACCTGGGACATGAATGGGCACCCATATGGGATTCTAGCACACACAAAGAGAGGACTTAAGCCGATTAAGCTACCAACCTGGGCCTGGGATGTAATAATTTTTAAAAAGTAAGTTTGTAAACTGAACTCAACAACAAAATAGAAATATTATGCAACATAACTGAATGTAATTTATTCCTGATATGCAGGAATGGTTCAACGTACAAAAGTCATGATGGCACAGTTGCTTAAATTGTCACTTGTAGTGCCAGCGTTCCAAACCCAGGAGTCAATCTGAGTTCCAACGTCTCAGCTTTTGGATCCAGCTCCCTCGTGATATGCCTGGGAAAGCAGTGGAAGGTGGTGCACGTTGAAGAGACCCCATGGAAGTTTCTGGTTCCTGGCTTCACCCTGATCAGTTCTGGCTGTTGCAGACATTTAGAGAACAAGTCGGGAGAAGGAACATTTTTCTTTCTCTATTTTTATCATTTTGCCTTTTAAACAAATAAATAAATCTTAAAAAAAAAAACCCGAGTAATGCTTCCCATTAAAGGACAGACATGTATGTCCGTTTCAAGTGACACGGGCGGCGGGGGGGGGGGGGAAATTGCTAACATTTGCTGACATTTACTATGAGGCCAGACACAATTCTAGGCATTTAATACATGTGGTATGATTTCATCCTTTTAACAATCTGATGACTGCCAAGGAGCCTGTGCTGCTTATCAACCCGCCCTTCTACACACAGCTTTAACTCAATGTCAGCAAAACACACTGTTCCTTTGCCGGCTGGCTGCCAGTTAGGCCCTGCCAATAGGGGATGCAAGAAGGAGAGTGCAAGGTGGCAAGTGGAGGGGGGGGCGGGAAGAGAAGGCAGCTCCCACTTCCTGTTTTGTTTGCTGTGCATCGACATCACTCCAACTATAGCTTTTTACCCCAGAAGCTTGGGTCCAATGTTTCCACGCTCCTTTATCTTGCCTCTCAGCCAGCCTCACTGCGTACCTGCGCACAATCGGTACCACTCAGCGCATCTCAGGTGCTCTTTAGCCACGCCCCTGGGATATCAGCACTAGTTAAAGGGCATCCTCTACTCAAAGAGCCAGCTCCCAGCTCCAGGGATCCTTCTGCACGTGTCTGGGTTCAATGACTTTCCTTTATCCTTCAGTCCATCTTCAAGGAACAACATGCTTGTTCCTTGGAAATGGAACAACAATGTGTTTTTGCCTTTAATGCATTGTCCTACCTTAAATCATTTCTACTGAAATAAGCGATATGGTACCTTCTCCTTCACTGAATCCCAACTCATACATCTTCAGCTAGGGTTAGGAAACAGACCTACATAGATGGGATCCTGGAATGGGTGTGATCCTATTCTTAGCTCCTTGTCAATAACAAATGGAATGCAGGGGTCCGCAGTGTGTAGTGTCAGCTGTGGCAGGCTGTCAGGAAACAAGGGGAGCATGCATGCGACAAGAGCCAACTGCCTATCGGCAGCTCAGTCACATTGGATTCCTTCCATCCAGGAGGGGCAGTGCTATGTCCTCACTAGAATAAACACATGATTTGCTTTCCCTGACTTCCACACTTTGGCCACCACCACCGTCCCTGGACCTAAAGAAAGCCCCTACCCTGTGGTGTCAGGGACATGAGTCCACAGCAATGCAAGTGTGTGCCTTACGGGTCCCCAATTTACAATGTTAAGTGATCTAACTGCATACCCATCACCCCCAAACCAGCTCACCCCATAAAATGGTGGGACGGCTTACTAGCTGTAACACCAGTAAAGAGAAACCCCATAAGAGGGCTGTGTCCTGGTGTGTTTCTTAGGAAGACTCTGCGGATGGAAGTGTAGGGTGCAGAGAACGTGCGGTGCAGTGCAGGGGGACAGTCCAGGGCACACGGCCTAAGGGCAGTGAGAGCATGGTGAGGTGCAGGGGGACAGTCCAGGGCGCACGGCCTAAGGGCAGTGAGAGCATGGTGAGGTGCAGGGGGACAGTCCAGGGCGCACGGCCTAAGGGCAGTGAGAGCATGGTGAGGTGCGGGGGACAGTCCAGGGCTCACGGCCTAAGGGCAGTGAGAGCATGGTGAGGTGTAGGGGGACAGTCCAGGGCGCACGGCCTAAGGGCAGTGAGAGCATGGTGAGGTGCAGGGGGACAGTCCAGGGCGCACGGCCTAAGGGCAGTGAGAGCATGGTGAGGTGCAGGGGGACAGTCCAGGGCGCACGGCCTAAAGGAAGTGAGGGCAGCTGAGCGGCGCTAAGGAAGTCAGTCCGCAGTGCAGGACTGGAAGGCTTAGCTCACTGCTCAGAAGATTCTGAAATCTGGAACCACTCCTAAACCAGTCCCAGTGGAGGGTCTGCCAACCACTGTTCTACTCAAACCCCTGGAGATCAATGTTTTAGTGTCCCTTTGCAAATGAGATTGTGTAGTACGCGTCTCTCTGTGCCTTCTTTCACTCAGCATAATGTGACTGCAAATGACTGAATTACACAATACCACATTTCCTGCATCCATTCATCTGACAATGGACACCAAAGTTGACTTCACTTCTTGGCCATTGTCAACAGCATTACAGCCAACAAGGACATGCAGATGTCTCTTTGGCATACTGATTTCAATGCCTTTGGAAGCACATCACTGGTGGTACTGCTGAGTCATATGGCATGTCTAGCCTTTCAGAACTGTGCTGCTGTTTGCAATTAGTGGCTGTATTAATTCCCATTCCCACCATCCGTATGCGAGAGTTCTCCTTGACATTCTCAGTAGCATTGATTGCTTTAGCCTTCTGGATAGCAATCATTCAGTAGCATTGATTGCTTTAGGCTTTTGGGTGGCAATCATTTCTACTTGGAGCGAAGGGATATTTCAGTTTGGATTTTTCCGTAACAATTGGCAATGCTGAACATTGTTTTCATACACTTCTTGATGATTTGTATATCCTCACTTGAGAAATGTCTGTTCAGCTCATTTGCTAATTTTTAATTGTGTTTTCTATTGCATTGTTGGTGTTACTGAAATATTCCGAAAATCCCTTTTTGGATGACTAGTTCACAGCTGTTTCCTC